TATAGAAGTGAATAAATTTTATGTCAATGCCTATTTTCAAACTGGTGACCATTCTGGTCCAAGCACTACTGATAATGCGAAGCAATGGAATCACAAACATCAAGAATCATTTCATTCAGTGTTTGTGCGCCCTCAATGCATCAACTGTTGCTGGTTTTGTACCTTAAGATTTATCTTTTATGTATCCCCATAGAAGAGTCCAATGGATAAGTATCCTTTGTTTAAACAGTTAAACCTGAAAAAGAATGAAAGCTAAGTGAATTATCAGCTGTTAAAGTGTAAGTACATTTTGGGGGGACACAGGGAAATGTATACACACTTTGAATAATTATAAAGACAGTGTTTATACTTCAACTGTGTTTTCGAACTTCCAGTAGCATTTTAGGATAAATTTCCTTTGTTCAAAGCTTAATCTGGCTGAAAAGAAAGAACCATCCATTGAGCCATCCGCTGGTAAAAACATGTGCATTCATGTTTTTGGGACACCTTGTAGATACACCTCCCAATCCTCATCTACTTCTCCATTGGAGATGCTACTGGCCATTTGATAAATAGCTCCATTTTAAACATATACTCTTATTTTAATCCCATATAATTAAAACTATTACACCATCAAAATTTATGGTCACTGGATTTATATAACATTGGGCTTTAATTAAAACTACCTTATTTTTTTTAATGAACATTGTAAGGAACGGTAGCAGTTTATGAAATGCATTTTAATCTGCAGTATGAACATTCCTATTCTTTCTCTCTCAGTATTGAATTCTGCTTATAGTTGGCTTATACAACCAACAAATTGAGTCTATGGCAGGTTGATGGTAGATCCCGTTCATACTGATGAATGAATGTCTGGTATCAACAGTCTCCTTCATTACTACTTTTTTTTTTTTCCTTCACAGATGGTCTTGATTTTTTTTCTGACATTTACTCTTAAAGATGTATTTTAGAATTTCTTTGTTAAGTTCCTCCCAGTTCCTGCTGGGATTACATTGTAATAGCACTTTAATTAGTTTTGGAGGATTTGACATGGTATGTCTTTCTATTTGTTTACATTTTCTTTTATGTCTCATTAAACTTTTGATATATTCCTCACCTGCATCACTGTTAACTTGAAGTTGTTTTAGTAATGTAATGTAATATTTTCTGTAATATATTTCCTATGAATTATTGATAGGATATAGAAAAGATATATAATTTTCAAGTATTCTCCTTCTAGCATTTCATTATTTTGCAGTAGATTCCTTTGGGTTTTCAAGGTAAATAATCATATAGCTACAAATAATTCCTTGGTCGTTTCCTAGAGCAAAACATTTCATAAGATTAAACCTTGCATTCCTGAAATAGATGTATGAGTTCGTGGCAGAGCACATAATGCTGCTGGAATTTCCAAAGGTTCCTGGATTCCATTTACAACAGCATCTGGGAGGATTTCTTTGAATCTATATTTTGACAAATTAAAATTGAAATAATTCCTTCTCTGTAGGTCTGTCCACTTTCAGGATTCAGAATGAAATTGATACTCGGTTAGCAAAGGAATTAGGAAACCTATCTTTTATTATTTCCTGGAAAATAATTTCAAAGGAAACCAACTACATTCAGAGTTGTTGGGCCGATCCCTGGCCTAGGCACGTAGGTGTCAATCTAGGAAAGCATAGAGGGAACATTGGCTCTGCAGGTGGCATCGGGCTGGCCCTGGGACACTAGGGGAGACCCCCTCTCTCATCTTTCTTTCTCACTTCAGTGATTTACAAACAGAAATACATGATCAAGTTTCCTTTGTGGAAAGGTGTGGTAAAACATTGACATTACTCCTGAGTGAAAGCATCTGCTTCAGCAAAAACACTGGGAATGTGTGTTTTTGTGTATCTCTTCTATCAACCGCATTCAAGATTGCTACGTGCATCCTCACTAGCATTGTCCAACATGTGCAATGCAACATTAAATGCAGCCCTGGAGTCACACAAAACATTAAAATAATGCTTGAAGTTCTATAACCTTTTGCATCGGGATGGAAAGGTTACATGTAATTGGCATGCAGACCATCCACGTAAGATAAAATTACATAAACAAAATTAACCTAATTTTGGTTTCGGAACATTGTACTAATATTTTTTCAGGGTTGAATGTAATATTTGTGCTCAAGTGTTTCCTGAAATAAGCTTTAAAAATGTTCACTCATCTTGCTATCACTGAGTACAGACCTCCCCAAAATGGGCAAAACCTTCAGGAAAACATTGGTGCACCTCCCAGCCTATCATATTTAAAGTTATAGCATCACCGAACAGAGGCAGAAGTTGCTGCACATAACAGCAACGCACAACCTTGGGGCCTGGAATACTAATCAGTGGTTAACTGAGCTCTAAGTTACGATCCATAGGGATTGCTTACCGCAAACCACTGATTTCACTGGACTTCTTAAGGGTCACTTCCTCTGAGGGACTCATCATAAAAAGCCAAGCCTCCCATAGCTATAGGAAAACAAGTCATTTCTTTGGGGCTGGGAGGGTATAATTGGTTTCAAAACACATTAATATTATATTTTTTCTTCAAAATGAGAATAACCTCAACATTTATATGATTATGAAGTCATGCACATTCTTTGTATTAAATTTTAAAAGTCAAGACCAAAAGTGATAGAGAATACATTTTTTTTCAGTGATACAAACGGAAGGTTTCTTTTTTTCTTTTCTTTTTTTATTGTTTAAAATATTCCATACCTCTCCTTTTTCCCCAATTAACCACCCCCCCCCTCCGGGCCCCCTCGCCCCCCAGGACAAGCTCCCACCGCCCATGTCCATTGGTTATGTTTATATGCATGCATACAAGGCCTTTGGTTGCTGTCTTACACCACCACCCCCTTCCCCTGCCTTCTCTCTGAGGTTGGATGGTCTGTTCAGTGTTTCTTTGTCTCTGGATCTATTTTTGTTGAGAATGCATTTTAAATCACCTCTACAGTAATTTCTCCACCTAAAGATTTCTACTCTTAACATTTTAGTGTAGATCATTACAGAATCTCTATTAAAAATATCTTCTAAAAGGGTTCATGCTCACTCACTTATAATTAAAAATATTTATCTTCAAAATAGATATCATTTCTTTCAAGTATTATTTATTTTTTGAACTGTTTTTTATTACATTCTCTTACATAAGATCACATATGTATCCAAATCATTATAAAACACTCAAAAGAATTAAAAAATCCATGTTAGGTAGTGTTACCTTCATTAGTCATTAGTAACTAATTTATGTGCCCATATTGACCAAAATTAATGTCTTACAATTGCATTAACATGATGGAACTAATGGTTTGTTATTCATTTGTAAAGTCACCCAAAACATCTTTGCCAGTAAAGTAAACCCTCGATTTTGCAGACCTCAATTTAACAAATTTAGGCTTTAATGGACAAAATTACTGATTCGTATGTCATATGTGAAAATTAACACCCTGTTAGTTTTAAAATGCTTTAAAACAAGTTTTGCTTATAATTAACTTAAACAGGTTATTTTTTTGTTATTAGTTCACTGTTATTTTTAACCAATTTTAGCGAAATGGCCATATGTTGGAAAAAACACTAGTAATTTTGCGGACAAAAATAAATATTACATGTCTGCAACCATAGTCTACATATTTAAATCCAAGAGTCGCCGCTTGTAAACAATGTTCTGGGAATGATTAGCACATGATCACACTGCACTGCACATGGTGACTGGTTCTGTTGTCGTGTGGTGTGACTTTCAGCAGCAGTTTTAACACGTGCAGGCCCATGTCCCCTCTGCGCTAAGCCACACCCCAGCGTGTGCACTTGTTTGCTGGTGGTGACTGGCGAATGCATGCATTTCCTAGACCTACTCAGTAGACATTTAAAGGGACAGTAATGCATATAGAGAACTTTTCTGTGAAAGTCAACTTTTCATGCACACTTAATTTGAATTACACAAATGTGTCTACATAAGCAAAAACGGGTGAACTGATGTGTCAATTTTTGAACATATCCATTTGGAAAACCTTCTTCATTATCTAACGGACTTTCAGCCTTAAAGGACACCCGTTGCCCTTATTAGACTGTTATATCGGGGAGTTACTATATTTTCTCCCATCCTATTTCCCCCCCCCCCCCCCCTCCAATCTCAGCCTTGGTCCCCACCTAGTTCTCTCTGACCATTGGTGCTAATAACCTGAATGGTATAACTCAGTGATGACAGCTGAAAAGTACAGGGTTCCGCCAGGGCACCTTCTTGTAAACTGTGCAGATAGACAGTAAACATGGCCTCTTGGTCTATGTGTGCATTGATAGCCATAAAACATCTGTGAATAGAATCACAAAGAAGCTGGTGTCCTCTGGGGAGGGAACTGAGTAACTGGAGGTAGGGGACAGACATAGGAAGGGGTTTTATTATAGACCTTTTTCTGCTTTACAAATGCTTATTATACTGCCGATTCGGAAAATGTACATAAATGCATATATGTATCTGCATATGTACAAACAGGTATAAAGTGATCAGCCTGCTAGGGCATAGACTGCCCCTTCAGGTTCCAGAATTTACTGGGTGCCCAGAGAAACGAAACCACTAACTGTCACAGCGTCAGCTTATGCCGTGCAACGGAAACACAGTTTGACTCTGAAAGCGCTGCAGTTGCCATTCTGTAAAAGGCTGCCGCGAGAGATGCAGGGCGCCACGCTTGACTCAGTGATTCAGCACAGGCACCCCAGCGCCGTCTGTGTGTGACAGCACCCAGCCTGGAGAGGGACACGCACACAGCAGGGTGGCAGAGAAACCCTGAGGGGAGGAAAGGGGCAGAAATTCTCACTTCGATCTTGGTCTTTTCTAAAAGCGGGGCCATTGTGGTTCTTGGTATTGTGAAGCATGTTGTGCCCTTTGGGCACCATGCATGTGACGGAAATAAGGTTCGGGTTCCTGAGTTAGTTACACTGCCCTGTGCAGGGCTCAAAGGCCCTCGCTGTTGCCTCACTATTTCTTTTGCTCTTGATTTGCAGGTAGTGAAGTCCAAGTTCTTTAAAGAAAATCACTTGATTAAAATAAAACGATCAAGAAATCACACTGTGGGAAGATATTTCAGCAACCAGAGCAAACTACAGCGGCAGCAAGACTCCCCAATAAACGTTCAATCACCGTATCACGTCCGAGGTCCGATTAACCAGGTTTGTTCTGAAATCCTTCTCAGCAGGATGTGCACGGAGAAAGGAGCTGCGTAGACTCCCTGATGGGGACTGCATTTGCAACTGAAGACAAACCACTAACCTGGATGATCGTCTAAGACCCACAACCTGGGTGTCGAGTGTATTTTAGACTGACTACCTGCCTTCATGCACACCAGCACACGGTTACACACCAATGCACACGTAGCTTTAAAAAAAAACCCGTAATAACACTTTGTTCCTACCACTTTATAAAGTCAAGATGTGCACTTAAAAATCAGCTGGTTTTCCATGTGAACGACAGAGCCAGGAAAAGGTTACTCAACATATAATATGAACAAGAACCACTGCGGGCTAGGGATTGCATTGTGACAATAAAAAGAAATACAGGCACTTGAATTATGGGAGAAAGGCTAATGCGTTGAGCGTTGTGTTATATTCTCTATTGGCCTGTGAATACGGAGAAGGGTAAAAAGGCAATTACATTCCACTTGCAAGTAGGGACTGCACTTGCGCCCTTCACCAGGAGAAAACGTTAATGTGGCTTCGGCCTTGTGAATCTAATGCTTACGATAAACATTTTTCCTATGCTTTTCACGTTTTATAACTGAAAGGGAAAGAATAGGAATGTTCCACAAGGGAATTCAAATGGATTCTATGAGATGAGAAGTGTAACATTTGACCGTTAAAACACCAGTATGTTTAACTTTACACTCTGTAATTTTCAGAAACATTCCCTCCTATCCTGTCCTTGAACTTGGATAGGTAACTGCAGACTAAGTTGATTAAATGTGTGATTTTTAAGTGCGAAACAAAATATAGTTCCCCATGTATTACTTCGTTTCATTGACAGTATTACTTCAGAAAGCTTTGGTTTGCCAATAGAGCCCTGTGTAATGTAAGGTTACAATTACATTTTATGTAAATATTTTGCAAAGGATTAGGCATTCTCAAGTGCATAGGCATTTATTTCCATAAAGCACTTACTGTACATGTCCACAAATACTCCTATGTTACTAGTAACTATATTTTTATTTTCCTGAACAACTGTATCTAATTCAAATTTAGAGTAGGCATAAATTATTTTTTATTAAAACTGTGGCATACATATAAAACACACCTAATTCTAGTATTTAGAACTTTTTCTTCTATATTTTCATTTCAAAATAGTAAATTTCTTTATTTTACAAATGCTTTGTTGTGAGATAACATCTCACAGTAACAATGGTTTCTAAAGAATTAATTTCCTTTTGGGGTGGGGGGGAAAGAGCTGAGAAGGTTAATTCAACACATGGCTGAAATTACCAAGTGCACAAATACCTCAATTTTACTACCTTACGAAACATAAAACTATTTTGATCAATGAGTTCCTTAGTATGAATATCCACCTCCTTTAAATACTCTATTTTTATATATATTTTTATATGAAAGTAAACATGACGTTATATTTAACTGCCTTAAATTATATTTAAGCACAAATATCACTTGATATAAGCAATACATATCTGCATCTGATAGATGATAGATTTTTTAAAAGAGTGGTACAGAATTCACTTTTAAAGTGAATGTTTTTTTCTAATATCTGCAGCTATACACATGCACCGTTTTTAGGTTTTTCCATCATTTTTTAATGAAATAAGATGTTGCCAATTTATGCAGCCTCTCTCTCAAGTTTTAACATATTATATTCTCTGTAACAGGATATAGCCAGTGCCTGATTCTTGCAATTTACTGTCAACATAATTGCAATAACTGTCTACCTGAGGTTTGTCTGGCATTTAACTCTTCGCCATTGAAATAATAATGGATTTAAGACACAATTGTAATGTTATTAATAAATGTCTTAGTAATATTCTGTGTTCCGAGAGTATCTTTTTATTTTATTTTCCGCTGTAGTTATACAACCATACAAATGGTGACCAATTGGTACAGATATTATCGTGCAGATTCAACTATTGGAATGTGTTTTAATCAGATTACTATAGTCCAACCCTGATATTCTCTACATTTTCATCAGATGAACTCCCTGCTGTACAGTGACCTTTTTTGCTGAACAGTGACCAAACCTTTTGACGATAGTGTTTTAACAAGCTTTTACTTTTTTTAAAGAAAAGACACTAAAATGGTAGGAATCATTATACTTTTATTTTTTTATTGCGAGAGACACAGAGAGAGAGAAACATCGATTTTTGTTGCTCCACTTATATATGCATTCAGTGGTTGCTGCTTGTATGTGCCCTGAACTGAGAGTGAATCTGGGATGATGCTCTAACCAACTTCTAACTAACCGAGTTACCCGGCCAGGAGCTAGAAATCATTTAATTGCTCCTTAATGAAAAACACTACCATTTACTTTATCATGGGGAAATAGGTGTGTGTATATGTGTGCATGTACACTAGTATTTGGATGTGCTTAGCAAGTTAATCATTTGAGTGGAAAAAATAAGAGTAGGCATTTTAAAATATTTTTAGATATAAAAGTTAAAGGGAGTGTACTTTTGTAAGGATTGATTAGTATCCAGTCTAAACTAAGCTAAACTAAGGAAAACATGTAAAATATTAAAAGTCATGAATAGCGGCATAAGTATTTCCAAGCATCACTGTTGACATTGTGCAGGCGTGTGTGTGTGTGTTTAATGGCTCGCTACTTGCCAGCCATCTGAGCAGGCAAGTCAGATCCTGTAGGGACAGAGGAAGAGGAAGGGCTCACCGTTGCCTGCTGGCGGAGTTTACACTCGGGTCATTTCATCTTCCTCATGTTAATTGCCCCTGTGCCTAGTAGTCACCTCTACAGCACAGTAATTCCCACTGAGAAAAAGCACTGGGGAGGGGGGGAATTACTGATTTTTAAAATGGAAACCATTCCAGTAATGTTTATGGGGGGAAAATAATAATGTTCTGCCTCAAGTTTCTCCTTTCATTTTGCTGGACACAAAAACTGGTCAAAAATTATGTAACCTAACAAGAGTTATTTGAAAGCCATAATGCTTTGGCATGGAGGCGGGGATGGTGGTGGGGGAAGCAGGGATCTAATATAAATAATGTGATCATTAGCCTGGAGAGATGATCAGGGTGATGACCTTATTATATACTAGAGGCCCAGCGCACAAAAATTTGTGCACTGGCAGGGGAAGGGGGGTGTCCCTCAGCCCCACTTGTGCCCTCTCAGAGTCTGGGGCAGGGCCAATCTGGGGGTTGGGGCACTGCCCCGGGTCGGGTCGCACACAGGACGCCCCACTGGGCCAGTGGATCACTGCTGCCCCACCCTGCCACCCCGGGTCGGGTCACACACAGACGCCCGCTGCCCCGGGTCGCAGATAGGCCCGGATAGCAGCAGGGCAGGCGGGATGGCGCTGCCCCACCGCCCTGGGTTGCAAATAGCAGGCCCATATGGCACAAATAGCAGGCCCAGATGGCAGTGGGGCAGGTGGGATGGGGCTGTCCCACCCTGCCTGCAGTATGCAAACTAGCCGCCATCTTTGTTGGCGGTTAATTTGCATATTACACTGATTAGCCAATGGGAGACATAGCAAAGGTATGGTCAATTACCATGCTTGTCTATTATTAGATAGGATTATCTTATGGGCTCCTTTCATTAAGCTAATGCTGAAAGAAGCCTCAGGATGTAAAATTGTCTCTGTGACTTTTCATCTTATTAAAAAAAAAATCATCAAAATTAGGAGCTAGGGCAGCCGTGGGCAAACTACGGCCCACGGGCCGGATCCGGCCTGTTTGAAATGAATAACTAAAAAAAAAGACCGTACCCTTTTATGTAATGATGTTTATTTTGAATTTATATTAGTTCACACAAACACTCCATCCATGCTTTTGTTCCGGCCCTCCAGTCCAGTTTAAGAACCCATTGTGGCCCTCGAGTCAAAAAGTTTGCCCACCCCTGAGCTAGGGTTATGTATTTAAAATGAACAAACATAACTTTGAGTGAGCTCACATGGGCTGATCACTTCAAAAACATGCATGCCAGTGTAAAAGGATGCGACAGCAGATCCTACCATTCTGCCTGGATCAAGAAATACTTGCTCTGCAAGGCTTCCTGCAGTTTTTGTCCATGAATCACTTCAGTTCAAATGGCTTTGATTGCTCCGGGACACGAAGGCATGTTGATAGATCACCTCGACTTAGGGGGATGAACCAGGAGTTGTTAGGAACCCCAAAGACCCACTAAAGTCAGCAAGACACTTCCAGTGCCTGCACACTAGGTTTTTCTACTTGGCAGGGCTTCCAAGGTTTCGTCCTGTCAAAGAACTTTTTATCATGTTTTTATTGCTGGAGAAACTGCTATTACCAATTTCCTCATTTCTTTTATGATTCATTCCGTTGGTGTCGGGGGCTATTGAAGTCATTTTTTTCCAGGTGATATACAGCCGCCCCAAATGGTGCTCCATTTGTTTTCTTTATGCTCCTTGAAATAGGAAGAATTTGTTTTATAACTCTACTAGAGGCCCAATGCATGAAATTCATGCAAGGGGCTTGGCCCTCGCAGTTGCAGTGGCTTGCCTCAGCTCTTGCAGCCCCAGCTTCTTCCAGAAGGTCATCCAGAAGGACGTCTGGAAGATTGTTCAGCTGTCTGGTCTAATTAGCATATGACGCTTTTATTATTATAGATTGGATGCCAGATCACTACACATTCAATACATACTCCAAGTACTAATTCTTTTTTTAAAATATATTTTATTGATTTTTTTACAGAGAGGAGGGGAGAGGGATAGAGCATTAGAAACATGGATGAGAGAGAAACATCGATCAGCTGCCTCTTGCATGCCTCCTACTGGGGATGTGCCTGCAACCAAGGTACATGACCTTGACCGGAATCAAACCTGGGACCCTTGAGTCCACAGGCTGACGCTCTATCCGCTGAGCCAAACCGGTTAGGGTCAAGTACTAATTCTTAAACCGGATCAGGAATATTTGTAATATGTGAGTGTTTGCAATGTAAGTGAATATAATTACTTAAACCCAAGGAATAGCAAGAATAAAATTAAAACAGCCACTTTTAGAGAAAACACTATAATAAGAAATTTCTAATCCTACATGGTTGTCCTGTCCAGGTAGATTAGGTTTTGAATTTGATTTATGCTGACTGGCCCATTGTGGGGAAACGTTGACTATATCTAACCAAAATATTTACTTAGGAAATTTATGTGCAACATCAGATTATTATTTTTATTTCATGAAAAGTAATTCGTATAAAATTAATTTAAATATTTTGATATTTAAAAAGTGAAGTAATTGCAATTGATTATTTGTACGTCAGAATTCAAAAGTAACACAGTCTCAGAAATGTAACAGAATTCTCAATTATGTAGGGACTTATTCTATGGCGGGCTAGTGAAATACACCAATCCAATACTGCTTTTAGGGCTAGACTAAGCAATTTAATGGTAATGGTATGTGACATATATATTTTGTTCATTGTATTCCCAATTTTTCCATTAAAAAATGTTCAAAATCTGTAGATTGAAAGCTCAGTGTAGGGCATCCAAGTCAGCATTTTAATTTTCTTTACAGCCTATAATATAATTTTCATTTGTCTATGATTGTATGATGTTAAAATTAAATCATCAATTTGACAAATAAGAGAAACAATTTAGGAACATTAAAATAAAATGGGCCTATGTTGCAACATATAACCACTTGTATATCCACAAATCTCCACTTAGATACACGTGGTGGCTGAGTCTCCAGTAGACCTGACATTAACAGTTGACGATCCGGGATTCCGAATTCTTGACACCCCTTGCCCGTAAATACATGGAAGTGAGAGGGTGGTACAAAATGCCAACACTGAAGTAAATGAGGCATAGTTTCATCCATTGGGCCCATCATAATCAGAGAAGAGTTGAAAGGGGGGGGGACAGCACTGGTTTTCACCCCAGAAGAGAGGCTCCTCCCCCACTGGGTTCTGGGATGTGTAGCACCCTCTCCAGCCGCCTTTGACAGACTTGGACATCTCTTCAAAGCTATTCTTAAGGTACAAGTCACTTTGGAGGGCCGCATTCTTTCACAAGAATAAGTAATAATTTTCAAGCTTTATTTGACCAAAAATTATAACCTACATTAACTAAAGAGCAGCCGAATGTGCCTTTAATGATACCTTCTTATTTCTAATTAGGAAAAATAGAAAATGACCTCTAACCGTCAATACCATATACTCTGTCCTCTAGAGAACTGGAAATAGCAACCCATTCGTCCCTTCATTTCTTTCACCCCCAGAATCCTTCACCCACAGTGAACTTTCCCCCTTGTCTTCACCTTGGCCTGTGAAATGGAACATGGGCAGTATTTTCTGTGCGCATTTAATATGTAATACAAGATACATTTTAAAACTTACATTTTTACGTTCTGCTCCTGGCCTTAATTACATGTAACATGAGGCTTATGTTTTAATGGGCATGAGCTCTCCAGTTTTACAGTATCATAAAAAAAAGTTTACGAGCATTTTGTTAAAAATCGGTGCCTATGTCATTGGCAGGGCATGAAATTATTTGCAGCTACTTCTTCCACTGATGAGATAAAATTGGATCTGAATTAAGAATAGAACCGGGGAAAATTGAAACAATGCCTGCGTAACCAGCCTATAATGAGTTCAGTCGTTCCATGGCACAGACTTAGGGCTCATCCGTTCCTACCACATGTGCATAACCTCTAGGGGAAAGCTGGTCTCTGTTCCTACTTGTCTCTGAAAAGTCCCCTTTTCGCTGCAAAAGCGATGGTATGTTTTTAAAAGGGTGTGGATCAACCCTGAGCACACGGTATTCCTGCCAAGAACAGGACTCATTTCAATAAGGTGGAGCTCCCCGGGCCATGTTATTGGTAAACACTCAGGACGTTC